GCTTATGGAATTGAAGGATGAGATAGTGAAGGGAGATAAGCTGAAGATGGAATTGGTGATTTGATGTAATGGCTGCACTTTTTCGCTGTACACCGTTGCTTGTAGGCGTCTTACAGTGTCTGAGGTTGCGGCCTATTGGGGCTGGTTATGGAAGGAAGGGTAGATTAGGTAACCTGGATTCACTCTTCATTTTCTGTCACATCCGTAAAAGAAAACCTACCGTGACCGAGTAAGGCTGAAGTCTTTCGCTTTCATGACAATGACATGTTCAAATTAGACCGGATCCCGGCAGGCCGGTACCTAAGCTCATTGTACCCACAGCACGTGACAACCCGGCTATAGCGGCTCTGGTGGCATCGTTAGGGGGCGGACAACGGTGTCGTCTTGTCAGCCAAGATCCTGATCATGATGTCTGACTTGGACCCCATCTTATCCCACCCCCTCACAAATAATCTTCTATCGCTTGCCTTTAAATGCGGACTCAAGCTCGCTACTATATAGCGATCCCCAATCCCTCAATAGTCTCCTTCCTGTTGGGCTAAAGAACCCTGTGTCGTTGAGTTTGACTATGGCCGACTATTCTCTCGCTGCTGGCCTGGCCAGAATGCATCCCTTTTCAAGATCTGCGAGAGGGAAGTATGACGAAGATGTGGGTGAAGACATTGATGACTTCACCGTGGCCGGAGGTGGTCACAGCTCGCGCCGGACGGAGCTCACGAGCCACCAGCTAAGGATTAGCCATGTGCTAAAGTCATTCCTTGTGCATAACCGGGTAGTGTCTAGTAGAGATGCTGCTCTGGACTCGGAAGGGTTGAGCCCGGCTCTGGAAGCATTACTGGGTAAACCGCACATCGAAGTCCCCGCAGAGCTGACAGATCGGTCCCATCCGCTACCTGAATATTTCATAAGCTCTAGCCACAATACCTATCTCCTTGGACATCAGCTTCGCGGGAAATCGTCAGCTTCGGCGTATGAATCTACCTTGTTGACTGGCGCGCGATGTGTCGAGATTGATGCATGGGATGACAGCGATAATACAGACGAGCCCAAGGTCACCCATGGATACACCCTCGTCTCAAACATACCCTTTCGCGCAGTGTGCGAGGCCATCCGTGATGTTGTTGACAAAGAGGCAGCGCAGTCTGTAGACCAACAAGGCTATCGCGCTGCGCCCATTATCCTGTCACTGGAAAATCACTGCGGTGCACACGGACAGATGCGCTTAGTCGAGATTATGATAGAAGTCTGGGGTCACAGACTGCTGAGCAGAGCCGTCCGCGAGAAGGGCCACCAAGAGCAGGAATCCGAAGATGAGCAGGTACGGCTCGAAGAGCTTGAGTCGAAGATCGCACTTATCGTCGAATATCACTTCCCGAGTGAGGAAGACAGTGACGATGACGATAGCGGCGACGACTCAGACTCTGAAGAGGAAGAGGTAAAAGAGGCCCGTGCAGACTATAAAGCGCGCAAAAAGGCAGTGAAGAGTGGCGGAATTATTCCAGAACTCGCGGCTCTCGGCGTTTATGCACAGTCTGTAAAGCCAAGGGATGACTCGTGGTTTGAGAGCAAGCTGTATGAAGGCCCTCATCACCACCTCATCAACGTCTCCGAATCTGGCCTCCAGGCATTGATGCCAGGGAACAATGAGAGTATCGCCCGCCACAATGCGCAGCACCTCATGCGTGTATTTCCCAAGGGCACTCGCATATCGTCTAAAAATCTCAAGCAAGTTCCCTTCTGGGGAGTCGGCGCGCAGATATGTGCGATGAACTGGCAGACATTTGGCGGTAGTATGCAATTGAATGAGGCGATGTTTAGCGGAACAGAAGGCTACGTGCTGAAGCCAGCAGCTTTGAGGGCCGGTGGTAGTGGCCGGCTGAACACAGGGCGGAGGAAGAAGCTGCGCCTACACGTCGCTGGCGCTTCGGACGTCCCCGTGCCAGACGGACGCGACGTGGATGATATCAAGCCGTACGTCACATGCTCGCTTGTGCATCCCGACGACGTCAATGGCAAGCATCAGAAGAGCAAGACCAAGCACTACAGGCAACACAAGCTTGGATTCCTGCATAGAGGCGAGAATCCGCCGCCCACGGACCCCGTCTGGGATGATGTGTTGGAATGGGAATACGACGACAACGAGCTCGTCTTCCTGCGAATCTTCCTAAAGGACGACGTTAGCTTCGCCGAGAACCCGATCTACGCCGTCACGGCTATCCGGCTACTGTACGTGGTTCCGGGGTGGAGTTTCATCCGCCTGCTCGACTTGAAGGGCCATGAAACAAAATGTTCGCTGCTGGTCAAGTTTGATTTTGAGGACATCTAGTGATTTTCAGGGTATAACATTCCGGCTGAAACTATTGAAGAAAAGAAAAAAAAGCAACTTTAAAGCCCGAAGAATTGAGTAGTACATCCGGATTGTCTCAAACATTTTTTTACAAGTTATTGATTATCTCTATGAAACATGTTTGAGTATCTACTGAACGCCACCTGTCGGGCCGATTCTATGACTTGTCTAGCTCAACTTCTAGCTAAAACTTACTATTTGATCACACGATTGCATACACGAGAAGGCGCCCGTAAAGGGCAATGAATTCTAGGAAGCAGATGAGGCGCTTTTCCTGTTCATTGCAAGACTGTAGCCCCAAACCCTTCACAACAGCGGTGCGAAACACAAAATACAAAATACGACGTTAGTCAACGCCAAGGCCGCTTCCATGAGCCTTATGCAGGCAACCCAACGTGCATGCTTCCGAGGCCAATCTATTGGGCGCATAGAGAGCCGTACAGAACACGCATCTTGGCAGTTGTGTAGGGCTGACTCCTATGCAACTCCCAACTCCCGTCGCCACTTTGGTAAGTGGCTCATCTACAGCAGGGCTTTTGAATTTATTCTCCCGGCACTTGAGGATAAGTTCAAGACTTTGGCAAGAAATATAGACGGAGCCGTACGTGTGGATATTTTTTATGTGCAAACTACCTTCACAACTTGACCTCACGGGTCATCAAGATTTATGCTTGGAATGTGGCTGAATAGAAGGCGTACATCCCTTGCTATATTTTATAGAGGTGCCGAGCATGAATAGTCCTCGATGACGTCATAAAATGGGCTGGAAGAGCTCCGGGGCATGTCTATATGAGGGAATGGCACAAAGTATGGTCTGGGGACAAGGAGTCGTGGGGATTTTCTAGCTTAACGAAGATGTATGACCTTATAGAGCAAATTGTAACCGTACTTCGTATCTGCGTACTCCGTTACCTAGACACAGTGCATAGTTATCTCTCACGATGGTAAATGCCTGAATGCCGATGTCCCCTCTATATTTGAACTGGGTATCTTCAAGGTATTATACAGATGTGTTACAGATGATTTACATTTCTCATGGTTCTGCTTCCAGCTTCTGTGGAATCAAGCCCTCAGCCATATTAATAGCACCCTCCATGTCGTTCTTGTTGAAGAGGAAAAGCCCTTGGATCGCAGCGGTGCTGGTCCTGATGGGGGCTGCCCCTTCTACAGCCTCGCGGAACAGTCCTAGCTCCTCTAGGCGGGCCAAGAACCGGTCTCTGTTAACACCGTCAGTGTCTACGTCTCCGTAGAATCGATCCCACATCTGGCCTGCTTGATATCGGGTCGCTTCCCCGATGCGGACCATCATGTCCACTCGGCCAGGCCTAATGAGAGCAGGATCAAGTAATTCAATATGGTTTGTGGTTAGGAATGCAATCCTCTCCTCGCCAGCAGATAGGCCGTCTAAAGCATTCAAAAGCCCAGAGAAGGTCACAGTGCCGCCACTATAACCGTCGCCATCACGCCTTCTCCGATTTACAAATGCAGAATCAGCATCCTCTAATAGCACAATGGAGCGCTCGGGAAGCTTAGTAAGGAGAAAGGCGAGCTTGTCATCTGTCACGCCAATCTCACTCAGATTAATCATGGCCACACTGTAATCTAGTTCGCCGGCAAGCGCCTGTATGAAAGAGCTCTTGCCACTGCCCGGGGGGCCGTAGAGAAGGTATCCTCGACGGTAGGGTATACCGCGATCGACATACCACTGGCGACGAGCCAGGAAGTCTCTCGCGTCGTTCACGATATCCTCTTTCACCCCTTTGTCCAAGACGACGCTGGCGAGAGGACGTTTCCTCCGCGGCACGCCCAGAGGCACCCAGTCGAAGTTTCTCACCGAGTATACCACCGTCTTGCCCTCGTTCGCCCGAAGAGCAAGCCCGCGCGCTTCGGTGAAGACATCCTCGAATATGTGGCGGTGCGCATACAGCGTGGTCAACTCGAGCGTCTCGTGAGGCTCGCCCGTGTTCGTCTTGGCGGTCGACTGCTTCTCCCTGTTGACGGCGATATACGCGTGCTTGTACTTGACAATGTGGCGTCCGTAGCCGGGCTGCAGGAAGAAGCTGGCTTGCGTGGGCCCGTTGGGGGTGGTGCTTGTGGTTGTCGTCACGGAGAGCTTATTGATGCGCGTGAGGCGCTTGGCGAGGAAAGACGTCTGCGGACGGGGTTCGGATAACCATGCTAATATCCAAGGATACGCCGGGTCTTGTCTGCTGATCTCGACGTTGACCAGCAGACGTCGGCGAATCAGGCCGGCAGAGGTGAGAACGCCGCGGCGCGCAAAGGCCAGCACGGCGCCCAATGACGCGAGGCCAAAGCCTCCGGCGAATACGGGGTTTTCGAAGAGCCCATTAATGTCCAGAAGAGATCCCGCTGCCGACGCTGCGGGCTCTGACATGGCGATTCGAAAACGCTGGGCGAGAGGTTGTTTCCGAGTTTGCCTTGGACAGGATCGATATGTCAATATAGCGGTTGCTCGAAATACCTTGAACCTAGGTACCTAGCTAATAGCGCTAATCCATTCTGAGCACTTAAGTACCTAGGTACCTACTGGGTAGGTGTAGACGCCCGCATGCAGTTGTAGGAGGCATCCAATCTGCTCGGCATATCTAACTACACAACAGGCTTCAACGTCATCAGAACATGAACATTCGCCGGTGAGATGGCCGAGTGGTTATGGCGGTGGTCTCAAGAGAAATCTTACGCTATCTAATAAATAGCGCAGTATGCCACTGGAGCAATCCTCAGGGGTTCGAATCCCCTTCTCATCAAGTTGTTCTTTTTTTTTCCTTCCCGGCTTTTGATTTTTTGTGCGATGGTGTCTACGCATGCATTAGCGCAGAAATAGCGGGGTATATTGGTGTTCTAAAAGTAACGGAGGTGTATGTAGGTACTAGTACACCATGTGAGAGGGGCACGTCGACGGTACCTATTAACCTATCGTCTCAGCATTATAAAATACGATTAATAAACACTCTTCAGCTTATAAAGGCAAATAAGTCACATTAACCTCATTAGCCTAGTGATCTACTAGTCATTGGAGATTTTCCTTGGATGAATGATGATAAAAGAGCAGGATTTATATTGATTGGGGTTTAGCCTCGGTTTGCAGGTTAGTTACTACTATTTTATGATTAATCATCACGAAATATGTCACGAATATTAAGCGACTACAACTATTCAGCAATCTGATGAATAACAACTACGCGATATAAGATATTTATGAGGTGTAGACTGATTTCGTCGTTGTTCTCCCCATGTACACAGGCATGCTTGGTGCTGAGCTTCCCATGACTACAACAGTAGAGTATCAAAGGGTTAGGTTAAGGTATCCTCTGCGCCTAGCAACTATTAGGGGAGAGGATGGTATTAGAAACGCTAGATTCGGACGATACCACGCAGGCACAGGCTGAGGCCAGTTCGGCCGAAAAGGTTAACGACGAAGTGTCAACAGAATTCAACTTCGACGATGACCCCGCGAATCCATACAACTGGCCAAAATGGAAGAAAAACGTCCTGCTGGCGGCAACTGCGATTATTGCGTTTACAGGGTCAGTGAGCCCTGGCCGACTCGTTAACTCGTCTCTCTATCACTAACACAGATCGGCTCGGTGATAGATCAATAGGGACATCCATTATCAGCCCGGCACATCAACAACTGATTGACGAATTCGGAGTCTCTAGTACCGTGGCCTTCCTCCCTCTAACGACATAGTAAGTAGCCTCCAAAGAGAAATCCCTCCGTTCTAGACCAAGGTTGTGTCGCAAGGGCTGTCTATATTCCCGAACACTTGCAGAGGCCTCTCAAAATGGCGATGGCTGACTCCGAGTATCGCAGTGTACTTGCACTAGGCCTAGGACCTATCATCGGCGGGCCTCTTTCCGAAACAACAGGCCGAAAAGCGATCTACATCGGGGCGGCGAGTTTAGGTGGGCTTTTTGCATTGGGAGCTGGATTTACTACCTCTTTTGCAGGCCTTTCTATTCTACGGTTCTTCGCCGGATTCGCATACGGCCCAAGTTTGTCTATTGGCAGTGGGTTTCTCGCTGAGACATAGTATGCGTGCCCGAGTTTTTTATTTCTCATTGTAACAAATTATTACCCCTATCCATCCTTATGCTCCCCCACAGCCTTGAAAGTACAAGTCATACCCTTAATACACGCAGCAAGTCCTAACTTTTTGGTTCCTATAGTACACCAGCGGAAAGAGGTTTACCTTCTCTTCTGTGGATACTAAGTCCGTTCTTAGGCCCTGGCCTTGGGTGAGTAGGGCATAAAATCTGCGTGGTCCGCCATCTAAAGCAGCTAACGAGGCTTCATTATAGTCCCGTCCTCGGGGTCTTCCTAGTCGACCGTGTGGGTTGGCGATGGACCCAATTTACGCTCGTCTTCTTCTCTGTTTTCAGCTTGATATGGGTGCTAATCGGAAGCGAATCCTACCATCCTGTTATCCAACGCCGCCGGATGAAACAGCTGGGGATACCACCACCTAAGAGTACACCATTGATTGATACGTTACGGCACTTCCTATCAAAGGGCCTTTTTCGACCACTTCATATGATGCTGACGGAGCCCATCGTGGGTCTCCTCTCCTTATACGTGGCCTTCATATTTGGAGTCCTCTTCAATTTCTTCGGCGCTTTTTTCTACATCTTCCAATCTGTTTATGGCTTCACCATAGTGCAGTCCGGGCTAGTGTTCCTAGCCGTGGCATTGGGTTGTGTGATTGGCGCCCTGACTATCGGGCTTTGCGATCGACTATTCTATCAACCCCAGGTCCGGCGGTTCCCACCTCACCAGGTACCTCCCGAATATCGGTTGCTTCCGGCATTGATCGGTAGCGTGGCGCTTCCCGTTAGTCTCTTCATATTTGCATGGACGACTCGGCCAAGCATCTCGCCAGCAGTGCCGATCTTCGCCATCGTGATCTTCGGAGCGGGCAATATCAATTTATTCGTCAGCGCTCTTCAATATACTGGCGATGTGTATCATCGAACCAATGTTGCCAGTGCTACTAGCGCCAATAGCCTCGCCCGCTACGGACTGGCCGCTGTGTTCCCGTTGTTTTCTCTTCAACGTAAGTTATCGGTTCCCTCCACCCTCCCTTTCCTTTCATGCCACGCTAATACGTTTATGTAGTCTATCGGAATCTCGGCGTAGCATGGGCTTCCAGTCTTCTAGGCTTCGTTTCCATCGCTCTTCTCCCATTACCGTGGCTGCTGTTTAAATTCGGGAAAGCCATTAGGGACAAGTCAAAGTACCAGACGGCGACTTACTAGTTGCACTTCTAGACCTGTCCTTTTATGTTACAGTTTTTCATTGGGGGTCAACAGGTGTTGGATTAGAAGGCGTATTGGCACCCCGTATTAGAGAGGTTGTTGGGGTTACAAATGATAAGACATTATACAAGGAGTTATGCTAGGTCAAATCCCACAGTCCGAACATTATTGAAATATCCTCCCGCATGGTGCATACTATATTTCTTTCTGAGCACAGCGTAATTACTATTTAGTGCTTGACTAGTACAAGTACCCCTCCTTCGGGGCTGTTTTTTGCTACATCAGCAAGACGTCTTCGCTCTCTGCTCTCCCGTCTTATGGATCTCTAACCTGCGGCGCAATACAATATTAAATTCAACACTTTGCCCTCCGAATACACACTTCTTAAAGGCCGAGACACCTTTTCCGTCCACTATCTTATAACCGATCACCCTGATCACTAAGTCGTAGAGAAAGTGCGCACCCGTGGGAACTTTCGGGCACTGATGGCAGTAGTAACCCCAATAATGCGGCAAGGGAGAAACGTCAATAGGGCCGACTGCATCGAAGCCATCTGCCTTTCCGTACTAGGAGAAGCACCAACTGTGCAAGCGTACTGTTTGCAAGGGGACCACTCTGCCATTCTGTACATCGATAGTAATTAGCACCAAGGTCTTCATCTTTCAGGTGTATCCAGCTCGAATGCAATGTGCTTGGGGGAAACAAACCATATGCATATGAGATCTCCTATTCGACCTTGACAAATTCCCACCGCGCCGCTTCCTCGGTGGACTGGGCCTCGACTAATTTCGGCGACTCCCCGTCCTCGCGAATGGCCATGGCTCTCAATGTGAACCAATGTTTCACGCGTAAATTGTAGCCCCCGGCCTCTCGCGGACGCAGCACGAACGACTCACAGCTATCCATCTTACTCACGTAGGCGTGAAACCCCCCTCTCTTGTCACGGCCCAGGTATTTCCTGTGAACGAGATCCCAGAACCCTATCCAGCCGTCGTGCAGCTCCTCGCATCGCCATTGCCAGCCCCCCCTTGTACCCAAGTCCCGCACGAGGGTGAGGCGTCCTTCGACTATGGCCATGACCCTGCCTGATTCGGCATCCCGAATCATGTAGGTTCCGCCGGGTTCGGGAACGCTTCCGACGCCGCCGTTGGCGCTCAGTGGTGTAGAACCAACGGGCACACCACGATTCCCCCGCCTGTCGTCGGGTATGGTTGTGCCGGGAGGAGTGTGCATGGTGGTGCTTCCGCCTAGGCTTTCGCCGTCGTTGTAGTTAGAGACGCTAGGCGCTCGTTGGTGAGGTTTTGGGTTATCGGACATGGCTTCGGAGATGACAGTGTTTTCGCTCGCAGTAAAAGGAATCGAAAGTACGTATTTTGGTCGCTGGTACTACCCAGGCTTTAGAAGCATGCGAGCCTTGTTTTGTGCAGTTGAATGCTGTGACGTTGGTTCCAGGACAAAGAAGTAAAAGAGCTACCCCTCGTTTGAGCCACCCAACGGTTTAATACAGCCACCGCCAGCTTCTCACGGCACTCGGCGTTTGGCAGGTTCCAGCTAATTCGCCAGCCGTTGAATCATCTGCAGGCTCCCGTCGGCGTTTTCTTTTCTACATCTCTGTGCCCCCCTCCTTATACTAATCATTAAATGTAACGGGCGATAAATAGTTACAAATTCGCCAGAGGTTTTCACGTTCTTACATAAATTGGTACGGTATTTTCTTTTTTTGGGGCTCAAAGCTAGTAAACATTTCATGTTTTACAATGCAATGTTGGTTTTGCGGGTTATGTGTTGTATAAACATAACAGTCAAGTATTCGGTTTATATTATCTATCTCAGTGGATAGCCTTGCCAAACTATATTAATATTAATAATATTGAAATGGGCGCTGCATATGACTGTGATGGGTAATATAGGTGATCCCTACAGCATAGAAAATATTATTAACTCCTAACCACATCAGTTGATGACTCGAGAGGTGACATAGCTTCTAAGTCGGCGTAAAAAGCTACCCATCATTGTAGATGGACGGAACCCTTCCTTTTCATTTCACCTACTTTCACAGTATTCCTGTGGTATAATTGTGTCGTTTTATACCGCTCTTATCTATTTATATAGCCCTGTCAAAGCTCAACTAGGTCGCTAAAATCCGAATTATATTATATGAGTTGTATCTGGAATGATAAACACCTATTGATCACGTAGTTTCTAGCGAATCTGCTAGAATGTTAGTTGTCATTTGCTCCAAGATTTATTTATATGCTGGCTCCTCTAGCCTACCTAGACTGCCCTCGTCTTTCTATGTCCGGCCCATAACAACCACTTTGGAATTCCGGAGGGACTCCCAAGTGTAAACACCATATATGTAGTTTTCCCCCGTGTAGTTTCCCCCGTGTGGAGACTCAATGGGCCCTCCGTACCTAGAAGTTTCGTAATACTAACGAATCTCGGGAGCGGAGAGAAGCGGATAGATACCCTGAAGTTATAAGTGATTGCG